ATGCTGATAGCTTCTGTATATTATTTTAAATTGAATTTGAGGCCAATGAGTGAACTGGAAGGAGATCTCTGATACTCTTAAGGTCCTTGAGAGTCTCATTCTTTCACAGGGTCTTCTGACATTTCAACAGGTGTTAATTATGCAGTCTGTGATCTTCCCTGTGGGTTTAGAAACTCATTATGGTTTCAGCCACAGAGGTGTGTCAGTGAACAGGTCCTCTAAATGAAGGCCTTCACTAGGGAAAATACCATGTTCTAGGATGCAGACAGAAAAACAATTTAATGAAATTAGTATAGATAAAATGTTAAGAAAGCCACTTAAAAGGCTTTCTGTGATTGTGCTATGACTTTAAGAACTCAATTTGTTCAAGACATCAATGAGTGACTGAATTGGTTTTAAAAATGTTTCAGTTTTATCATCAGGATAGCCGAAGTGGGAGAATAAGATATTAAAGGAGCATCAGTGGATTCTACTAAAGGAAGTAAAAGATTTGGGGGCAGAAAAGCCAAGATTGCAATGGGCAGTTTCTTCTAAAAGGAAGGGAAAATGACCTATTAAAGCGCTACTTACAGATCAAACAAGATAAAAAGATAAGCTCACCCTTGTCTCTCATTAGGATGGTGCCATTTCAGAAAAGATATAAGGGTCATTACCAAGTCTGTGATGGGAGTTCACCGAAATGATAAGAGAAGTGAAGCTTCAGGGAGCAAATGGCAGTACTTCTGAGAGGGGTGCCCAACAGCGAATCCCCCTTACAGCCCTGGGTAAAACTATAAAAAGAAGTGACTGGGATCTCTTTAAAGACCAGGCAGTGCAAACAAGTGACTATAGGACATCTGGACTGATTCCTGAGAAGTCTCTGACAGGAGCACTGAACTCTTGATGCCATGGTGGGAAAGTTTGAGGGTGATTCACTTATGACAAGAAGGTGGATACATTTCCTATACTCAAGACAGGATTTAACTTTAGTTGAGCAGTATCAGATGGACATTTTTAGACCAGAAAACCCATTGTCATCAGACTGTTCTGTGCATTGTAGAATGTTTTATAGCATTCTAGTTGTGCCCATTAGAAGCCAGTAGCAATTCCCCAACTTGTGACAACAAAAAAGCTAAGAGAAGTTAGCCAGTCCCCAAAAAACAAATGCCGACTGTTTTCTCTGATATAAGGGGGGTGACTCTGAAAGGTTAAGAATGTAAAAGTTAAGTTTTGTTTTCTTAGTTGAGTCTAAGTTCTGTTTTCCTGAAACCTGTTTTCCTGAAACCTGAAATTTATGTAGATGTCAAAACAACTCCTGGAAAAACTACTAAATGTATGTTGAGAAATCTCTCCTGACCATCTGGTTGCTCTGTAAAAACAACCCCTCCCAGAAACCATGCAGTTCAGCACGTACACCCCTCAGGACTTAAACCAATCAGTTCAAATGTATACCCTTTTCTTGTACTGACCAATCCCCCTTACCCAACTTGTTCCCGCCAGTAAATGTGCTAATCATGGTTTAGAGTTGTTATTTGATTTTCCTGCGGCGTGTGATGATTTGCTAAGGGATGCTATGATGTATGTGAAGTCCCTGCCCTCCCCTAAAGAATGTATATAAGCTCTGCTTAAGCTGTTCTCAGGGCTCTTTGCTCCTCTCAAGTGAGCTCTGAGCCCCAGCATGCTGGACCCCCAATAAACCCTCTGCTGTTGCATGAGACAGTCTCTTGGTGGTCTCTTCCTCTGAAGCTCGCTCGACCTTAACAACTCAAAGTGGGGTAGAGAAGGGGAGCATGGGTGGAAAATTACCTCTAGATAGGGAATAGGGGTGGGAGGGAAAGAGAGAGAGAACGGGAATAGCTAGGATGATGGAAGGAGACAGTCATCATTATACAAAATACATGTATGAAGATGTGAATTTGGTGTCAACATACCTTATATACAAACAGAGATATGAAAAATGGTGGTATAAAGGTGTATTAAGAATTGTATGCAAAAAAAAAATAAGAGAGCTCATATATAATGGCATAATTTGGTGTGAACATACTCTATATGCAGAGTTACAAAAAAATTGTGATGTGAATGGATAATTATTAATGTAATGCACTCCACTATTGTCATGTAAGAAATAAATTAAAAAAAAAAGAGAAAAAAAGCCTACAGACTTGCCACATGTCCCTTGGGTATAAGGAGGGCAAAATTACCCCCCAGTTGAGAATGGCTACTCTGAGGGAATTTTCCTGAAATAATTATGGAATCCTGACTTTGGAATAACAGCATAAATAAGAGGAGCTACCAAATATGAGGTCCAGTTGTGACTTAAATGTTGTTCCAAATGGAGAAGGCTTCCCAGGTGGCTTTTTGATCAAGGAGATAGAATTGCAAGAATTGCATGAGAACTGTTTTAACAGTGGATGTATTTGGCAGACCTAGAACTCATTAGTTTTATATCACTCACGATCTGTTACCCTACAAGACAAAAGTCAAGAGGAATATGCTAGAAAAACAAATGTTTAGGCTAATAAACAAAGAAAACATTTTTTAAAAATAGTAAAATAGAACAAAGTGTGACAATTCTAGAGAAAGTTTAAAAAGAGGCCGGGTTAAAAAGATTTAAACCTAAATCTAAAATTTAAACTTAGGGAGTTCTCAAAGAGGCCAAGAATAACATACATAAATAGAATACTAGGGGCATATCTTCACTAGTGTGTGGAAAAAACATTGAGGAGACTGAAAAAAAATTTTTTTCTGCTGTTTTGAAAGATTTTTCAAAGGCTAGGAAAAATTTTAAACTCTGTGGAAAGGAAGAGCATTGGGGAAAGTAAAAGGGTACCCAGGGCTACAGCAGCACTATCATCCAGTGCTTCAGTTAACAATCCACAAAAGCTGGTCTCCAGAACATGAGGGGACAGGGAGCAGAACTTCTCCAGGAGGCAAATCCATAGTGCAATTCCACAGCCAGAAACAGCAGTGGGAGGAAATTAAACTCCCTTCCAACTCAATGTGAAGATTAGGCCCCTGGGGAGGATTCATGTTCAAGTCAGCATGCTGGAAACACAACTACAAAGGGAAATAAATAGGTTTTGAAAAACCTGGGTGTACATGAGGCACATCTCACATAAAACTCGGTGACAGACAGGAGCAGTATTTTAATTTTTTGGAGATTGGGATGGCAATGAAACCTCAAGTATTGCTTCCTTGGTGAAGAGAAGTGGTCTTTATTCATCGACTAATTGGAAGACTTCTTAGAAATGATTTGAAGTTCAAGGGTTGAGCTTTCAGACAATTGGCATAGACAGAGCATTATCCCAGCAAACCCCAAACCTGATTTTACTCAGTTGGGTGCAAATGGTCTTTTCTGCTGGGCTTGGCAACAGTCAAATGGATTCAGATTTTATCAAGATATATGTCCTTGTTGCATACAAGATTTTGCCTGGGATAACTGTTTTTGGTAAAAAAAAAAAAAAAAGAAAAAGAAATAGATTGTTTTGAAATTTTAGGGGATGGGCTCATGTTAAAATGACCTTGCATGACTTTTCAGATTTAGAATTTTTTAAAAAGTGGAGTAACAAAGAAACATTTGATATTGCATTTAACTTCAGAGGGTCTTAAAGAATGCCAATTAAAGAAGGGCCCATGACTCTGCTGTTGAACAACCCCTGTCCTCACCAGCTTTCTGTATTAGACACCTCTGCCTGAGGACTGTGAGGCTTGATTTTTGGACTTCACTTTCTTTGTGACTTTAGTAATAGGAGGATTTTATAGTGCTCAGATTTTACTTTTGCAGATATTTTTAAAAGCAGCGATTTAGACTTACTGCCTAACTCCTGGTGAGTTATTTTTAGTCTCAGAGTTGTTGTTGTTGTTTTTTTTTTTTGCTTTGATTTCATCTACTTGAGAGTAGTTCACATTTCTCTTTTATTATAGTTCTTTTCTGCTTCTTCCATTATTTCCAACTCAATGGGAGCTAGTTTAGATTATTTTGCCTCATCTCCCTTCCTTAAGTTCCTGAGTCATTTTAAATGTGGTGTAATTTCTCTTTGCCTGATTATCTGTGTCAGTTCCCTTAAACATGTATAGTTGAAATTCCTGGGGTCTCTAAAATAATGTCAAATCAATTTCTGTTCCTCTAGAACTTATAGCAAACTACCTTAAAACAGTAATTCTTCTTCTCAGGCCTGCATGGTGGGTGGAATTGAGGGAATTGAGCTTCAACCAACTCCACAGGATGCTTAGCTTCCCTCACTGCAGGATCAGGAACCCACTCAAAGCCATTAGCAAGCCACTGCCCTCAGGTCCTGAGCATCCACCAGCTTCAGTCAGAAGGACTCTTTCCTGCGGCTCCTGTAAGCCTCCCCCAGGGTCTCTGGCTCTTTCCTCTCAGAGACACTGTAAACTCTGAGGTCCAGCATTTTTCGTTTTGTCAGCAGATTACACAGCAGAGATTCAGTTCCAGCTTTACAAGTCGTTTATTTTCTTGGTTCATTCCAAGGAAGATTTAGGAGAAAGAAATGTCAGGAATATATTTTCATATAGGGATCTTTCCAGAAATCCTTCCCCAACCTTAGTCATTCCCTGGAGGACCAGAACTTGGAGCTCTTTCGGCATTTCTACTTAATGATGCTGGCCTTTCCTACACCTTTATGATGGAAAATTTATGTTTCTAAAGATAAGTATTTTAAAATTGGGTTCAAGGGTATGAAGAGTATGTTTCCCTTTGGGAAAAGAAAATCCAATTTTCTTTTAAGCAGCTTGATATGTGTTTGTGTATGTTCATGTAAAGTTATGGATCTATCTTTTTGTAAAATATCAAGTAACAATGGATAAAATTCAGCTTTCATATATTTTCCAATGTCCAACTAGTCAATAAATGTATGTCAAATGCCTTGTAATTCCAAGATATTGTTCAAGGTTCTGGGGACACAGTCATGAGCAAGGTAGACTAAAATGTTATAGCTTACAGTCTAGAGAAATGTGGTATTTATTAAAACAGTAGGCCACTTAAATAAGACACACTTACTGACCTCACAAGGAATTTCAGCAGGGAGCACTACTGCCAGTGGTATGGTGCTTCTTGAAGTTTCTGATGAATCTTCTTCATCCTTTCTCTGACTTATTTCCCCAGAATGCATGACTCCTATGTCCGCTGGAACGTTGACCTCAAGGTAGTCTTCAGAATCTAAAGAAATTTTTGCAAAATTAGATTATATTATTTCATCCATTATTATAAAGACTAATTGCTGATCATTAAATTTCATGCATACATGGGAAAGCAGAACTGAGTTTAAGACAGTTGAAATAATTAAGCATATATCAATAATTAAATAATGTTCTCAATTTAACTAATATTGCAACATTTATGACCAGAGTAGATCTACTATATAATAATATGCTCATCTACTAGTTGCGTTTTAAAAAGACTTCAATTACTATTTATATTTTTTCTTAATAGTAAAGCAATAAATCCAAAAAGCATTAGATAATTTCTTTTTTCATGATTGTGATAAAAATCATTTTAAATTAAAAAATTTAAATCAGAACAATTATTAAACTTTAATTATATTTCTAATTTAATAAGCAAAACTATACTTCAATAAAATATTAGTTTAATATTGAAATACTAGTGTTCATCAAAATGTTAATCTGTTCTATGAAAATAAGTGTTCTATATACAAAAATTGTTTTTTTAATGTATATTTCCAAGGATACTGAATACACTAAAAGTGAATTTAGTTCTCAAAAAAGGGTAGAGTAGTTATTGTTTTAACATTTAATAATTTTACTTTTAGTGTCAATCATTAAAACATTGTTCTCTGTTGAAAAAATATGTAGCAAGTAATGAGACAAATTTTTAAAATTTGTTTAAAATTTTTCTTTGGGGCATAGAACTAACTTGTCTAAAATCAAGACACTCAAAATGCAACTCTCTTCATTGCAACAACATGTGTAAACTCTTAGGCCCATCCAAAATTATCCCTCAAATTCCCAAACAAGAAAACTGTAAAATGAAAAGCAGGGATCAGTTTCTGACCCATAAAACTTGAATCTAATGTATGAAATATGATATGTCAAGAGCTTTATAATGTTTTGAACAACCAATAAAAAAAAAAAATAAAAAATAAAACTGGCCTGAGGCATAAGAATGCTTTGGTTTTCCACAAGCCCACTTTGAACTCACAGGTAGGCCCTGGTGAGTTCCTATCGAACATCAATATCTTCTCAGTACCTGACAAAGACATGTGATGGATAGAGAGTCAAGATCACTCTGCAAAAACAGGATTACCCAGATCACACAAAGGCCAGACAGACATCTGGCTGCTGCATCTTTACCAATGGAACTTTAGCTTCTTTTCATTTCTGCTGCTTTCTAGATAGGGTGAGCCTCTCTGCCCAGTTTGCCTGGGATTTTTCTGGTATAGGTGATAAAAATACCATGTCCAGGAATCCTCTCTGTCCAAGAAAACTGGAACAGTTGACCCTCCTTGTAAATAGAGTCATTATTATATCAAATCATAAAATTACCCCACTTCTTGAGAGCAAGAAAACTATAGTGAAGCCCTCTTTTCTTTTTTCTTTTTTTTTTGACTTGCGCTCAAGCCCAATTCAATGTTTATTAGTTTGCAAGGTAACTAATGGGTGTGCTGTTTCAGAAAGGGTACAAAAAAGGAGCTGTATTAGAGTTGACAAATGATGCTTATACAGTCAGCTAATTTTTAAAAAAAGTATGAAAATTTGTGGTTAAACTTCAAAGGTCCCAAAAGATGGAGTCCACACCCATTTTTGAGAAGGAAGTCTGTGAAATGACAGGATATCATCAGGAGTGTCTCAGGCCGAGGGAAAATACTTCTTAGAAGAAAATAACCAGAGGCAGGAGTGTGGCCAGTAGTAGGAATAGCAAAGTTTCACCTCCAAATTACCTGAGGGCTAATAACAAAAGAGCACAAATGTCAGGAAGCCTGCTGGGGCAGGCTGAATTTTGAGCTGTCCAAAGCCAGTGGCTTTTCTCAAAGGTACACAAATCTGTCCATTTCTGAGTTTTGGGACAAGTTTTTTTTTTTTTTTTTAATTGGTTGCTCAAGACAATACAATGATCTTGACATATCATACATTTGATTCAAATGGGGTGTGAATTCTTATTTTTCCATGTGTACAGATTGCAGGATCACATTGGTTATACAGCCACATTTATACATACAGCAATACTAGTGTCTGTTGTATTCTGCTGCCCTTCCTATCACCCCCTCCCTCCCCCCCCATCACCTCTCTCTTCCCAATCTACTGTGACACATTTCTCTCTCTCTTTTTTTCCTTCCCCCTCACACCATCATATATGTAATTTTGTATAACAATGAGGGTCTCCTTCTATCTTCCGTGCCTTCTTTTCTTGACAACCTCCCTCAAATCACATAACACCAGCCTAAATCCTATAATCTTTTGTAATACTCTTTCACTGAGACATCCTGTGGTTCCCCATAGAGTGTCTTTTCTTCGTTGCAACAAACAAAACTCCAAACAGTTCGAGTTCAAGTATGTTCCTGGTGGTCCTTGACTAAAGAGCATTGGCAATATAAAGGAAGAAGAGTCAAAGTCAATAAAGTCAGACAGAGCTAGACAAAAGTCTAACTTATTGTATCTAAATGAATAAAACACGCCAGTTCTCTACAGGTAAGTTATCAAGAAAAGCAAAGCATCATAAAAGACAATTGTTTGATATATCTGTCTCCTCGCTTCATCTAAGAAGGAAAGTCATTAGTTGTTGTTTTGCATTATTTTATTTCTGTTTTGTGATTGTTGCAGAATTAAGGCACCAAAGCACCTGCAATTCCCAGATTTTCCCCAGTACAAGTGTTGTTTTAAAAGAAATGAAAATCAGCCTTTAGTGCTTTAACAGTTTAAAATGTTTTAAGAATTCTCATTCTCTCTCTCTTCTGCATATATTCTCACACACCCAAATCATAACGGTGGACAGTTATATAAAACTAGCTTAATGATTTTGTGAATTGATAAAAGAACTAGGAAATTGATTTAATATTCCTTAAAGCAAAAAGAGGTAAGTCATTCAATGTGGCAGTATCTAAGATTTTGTGCAAGACCTCTGCAATATAAGGTTAAGAAGAGTAATTTTATTTACCCTGGGGACATAATTATGGATGTATAAAAATATTTGTCTCCATGAATGTTCACAGAAGCACTGTTTATAATGCAGAAAATTGGAAGCAATCTAAGCAATAAGAGAACAGATAAAAATATTCTATGTGATAAAAGATGTTACTAGTAAAAATTCCATCAGAGAATATTTACCATCTAAGAGCAAGTTTATAACTCAAAAAAGGTCAAGTTAAAATATTGTCAATTTAATAGGTTTCTGCTTTAATAAAATACGTGTATACAGAAATATGTGGTACAAATTCAAGACATAATCTTGAATAAATAAGAATAGACTAGCCATATATATACCCAAAATATCTAGTTATTTCTAGCCTGTGGGGTATAAGTAACTTTATTATATACATGTATATAAAATATTAATAGTATAGTACACGTAAGATCTATGCTGATTTTTTTCATAATAAAAATGTATTTATTTTAGAAGGTAAACTATAAATATTTCAAGTAGAGAAAGAATTTATTGAGTCTGCAAACTAAATACTTATATCTATTCCTTATATAACATGTGAATGACATAAGAGTAAAAGTTACTTTAAAAATAATAAATATATTAGTACATTGAAAATTGATAAATGGTATTATTATATAAGAACAAATTTAAAAGAGTCCCTGAAAGAGCAAAGTAAATCTGGAACTAGATGAGCAGGTACCAGAGCAGAAATAATAGCTTAAAACAGAACTGTAAAATGCAATTTCAAATATAATATTAAGTTTTTAAAACTAATTTCCAAAATTAAAGGATACCAAACTCAAAATTCAAGAGGAGAAATGGTTCTTAAGACAAAGTTCAAGGTAATAAGTTAAAATCTCATTTACAACAACCAGAATAATTGGAAATTTCCTAACTGTTCCTGCTACTGAGCAAGAAGCAATTTGCTTTTGCCCTAAGAATAAAACTCTAGACTCTAAACACTAGAAGCTAGGACTAGGACTGGCTAAAGCAGCAGAATTGAGACTGATGTATTTCTCAACATTGTCAAAGTCAGCAGAGAAAGGAAAAATGATACAATGTGACTTCAGCACTTTTTGATGGGTTAGATTCCTAAGCACTGGCTCTGGAGTGTGAGGATATCTTGAGCAGGACACTCACAGGAGGAGCCACATGAAAACTGACACAATTAACTGATGGTGATTTTCTATTAAAAATATAAACTGTCATCCAAGACAGTCACTCTTTTTAACAACAATCTGTCACATGAAAGAGACATATGAAAATCAACAAAGAGAAAAAACATTGAAAAAAAATTGTTTAGTCAAACAACTCAGAAAAAAATGTACTGGCTATTGTGTTAGTCAGCTTTCCGTTACTGTGACACAATATTCTGAGATATACAAGGAAGACAGATTCATTTTGGATCAGGGTTTCAGAGGTTTCAGTCCACAACCACTTAGCTCTGTGAGCCTGTGGTGACTCAGAACATCATGGCAGGGGGGCTGATCAACTTATAGCAACCAGAAAACAAAAAGACAGGGAAAGGGGTGGGGTCCCTATATCCCCTTTGAAGGCACAGCCCAATGACCTTCCACTACACTCCACCTCATCAAGGTTCCACTACCTCCCAGCTGTGCCATGGGCTGGTGACCAAGCCTTTAAAACAGGAGCCTTTGAAGGATATTCCAGATCCAAACTATAACAGCTAAGAAGGAACATGTTACAGTGATAAAGTAGGAGGAGAATAATAAGAAGGAAGAAAGCAGGAAAGGGTGTGTGTTTGGGGCATGGGTGAGTGGAGGCACTAAATTGGAATCTACCTGCATGGATTCACTACCTAACCCCTAACCGCATGGTACTCAGTGTACCGTGAACAGTGAAATGTGGGAGACTGGTCTCAGTTCTGAGCCAGCTGATTCATCCACCTTCTTCCAGTCTCATTACAAACATTTCTTTTTGTGTCATGACCCAAAAAATGGGTAGGAAACACTACTTTGCAGATAGTATATGAAATAAATCATATTATCACAAATAATCCTTATGTTAAGGTGATCTAAGCAACACTAAATAATGATATC